CCTCTAGTAATATATTTACTGAGAAAAATGGTGACATGTTCAATACTTATTTTACCCGCTGTATATATTCGCACAAGCACACTTGTGTCTTTTTTCGATACCGTAAATAAACGACCAAACCTCTGACATGGCTCTACTTCAGTTATTCCTGGCTACGCAGCGTCACTATCACTATGATGATCAAACAGATCAACCAAACATTTTGCCTCCCAAAACAGAAACACAAAGCTAAAAAATGGGAAATCAATATCGGACGTTAATATCGGCCTCGTTTTACATATCGGGCCGATACCGATGTCAATGCCGATATGTCGTGCATCCCTATTTTAGATGCACATATAAAAAGCACAGCTGACTTGGACTCTGTCTCTAGTCTAGTGTAACTAGTTTTTACCAAAATGAAATGCAAACCATAGATTAGTGCATGAATGGAAAAAACAAAGCTAAAGTATAAAAACATTAATTTTCTTGCAATTCTATTCAAAGCTTTAAGAAATGTCATTTTAAATAGGTCAGCTAATCCCCAGAGTCACTCTGTCTGTACAGAATTCTGTGGTAATTCATCTATTCAGGGTAAATGAGGAAAACGGAGCGTTTTGCTGGAGGCAATTAATTGAAAGTTTTGTTTTTTTTCCTTGTACAAAAACTTAGATTTGTTCAGACTTAAAAAGACTGTCAGACTGGATGGAAATATYGTGTTGTTGTGATATTACTGAAAGCTATTGGCATCCATTCATAGTGTCTCATTCTGACTGAGTCAGTGCATGCCAACAATACTGCAAAACTGCTAAAGGGGGAAAAAAAGCACAAGGTTTTAGTTTTTAGTTGTAAATGAACTCTCATGAAAACCGCAGTTTAATCTTTCATAACTGAGTTTCCAGTCTGGCAAGCCTCAATTCTTACCAGCTAAAGGACTCAAATAATTGAACAAACACTGAAAATCTTTCCATAGGTGTTTTAATAAAAAGAAAAGCCAAGATGCAAAGACAAAGTTGCATGCTGTTAAGCTGTAAACTTTGCCATTTTCTTCACAGCCTGGTTTAATGAAGTGTTAGGGCGTCTTTGCACCTTTTTGGTTGGCTGTTTCTCATGGGAGAAGCCTCGGTTTGAGTCAGCATTCGGTGTTAAAGCTGTGGATGGTGAGGATAAATGAGGGTAAGGAGATGGTAGAAACAGTTCCTGCTCCCCTACATCCTTTTTAAGTTTTGCTGTTTTTTCAGCACAATCTATTTCCTGTAAAGCTCACAACCATCCTATCCACTAACATTTGAACTTTTTCTTACTGAAACCTCAGACGTAATATACTTTGGCTCACCTTGCTTCACCCTCTCTCCATCTGTGGTTTCTGTGGGCCTCCATCCCAGTAATATCCCGAGGGGAAAGTTTGTGATGACATTGAACACCACATGAACATAAGCTCCCAGTTAACAGCATGTCACTGGAGGGAAATGTAAAGGATTTGGAGGCTTTTTTTTTCCAGCACTGCATCACAAAGTATTGATTTATTGGTTCCAGTCACCGCAACATACTCAAACTAAAGTAAACCACAAGAGTTGAACTACAGGTAGAGAACAGGAAGCTGGAGCTCCCTTAAAATATCCCATTTCCCCACATTTGTAACGCAGTTTTAATTACAACTAGAGAATTAGCTTTTCCTACAAAAATGCAGTGAGTGCTTAATACTGAAAGACTTTTTCTAAAAAAAAGGCTTAAACTAGCCTAAAATGGCTAAAAGGTAGCACAAAGAAACAGAAGGTGCATGTTTTCTGAATTAAGCAGGAAGAAGCTGAAATTAATAATTATGAAAAGTGAATTTAGCTAAAAAAAAGATCAAATYACATAAAAAGTAGCTAAAAATAAAAACAGCTGAAATGAGCAGAAAGCAGCCAAAAGAAGCATAAAGTTTAAAATAGCAGAAGCAGATAGAAGCAGAAAAACATTGAGATTAGAAGAGAAATAGCAGAAAATGTCAATGATAGCTTAAAAAAAGATAAATATTTCACAATTACTAAAAAAAATTGTCTACTCAAATCTGACTTTTATTTATGTTCTCAAATTGTTCTTGCTCTTCAGTGGCCGTGCGGATGTGGTGACTCTCATTAATTTATTGTTTAAGTGCTGGTTCTCCACAAACACGATACTATGGGGGAAAGAGATCACGATTACATATTTCCAAGAATGAGCTGAAAGAAACCACATCTTGCTGACGTATTCCCAGTAAGGTTTATTGGGTGTGGTGGAAATCCAACCCCACCTTCCTTCAGGGCATTTTAAGTGGTACAATATCTAGAAAGAATGTTGCTTGCCACACAGGTAGATCCACACTGAGTGGTAATTGTGTTTACACCTGTGTGAACATAGATTATTACAATAGCAGAAGCTGTTTTTGAAGTTACTCTTCAGAATAAGGCTACAAGAAGAAAAGGAAAAGATATTCTTGCTCCACTCAAATGTTTTTGTAAGTTGTGACTTATTTATTTATGAGCAGTACCAAGACTATGAAAGTATGTATGGAATGGAGATACGGAGTAAAGTTTTAGGTCTTGTCCATACATTTTTTTTCCAAAATGTTTTTAGTTTTTTAGCAACGTCTAGAAATATTTTTATCCACAAAGAAATACACAAAAGGATGATGATGAATAATATGATGGTTGTAATGCTGGCAAGAAAACACCAAAAACAGGAAACAAGGCGTGGAGCATACATGTCGCTTACATGTCAAGTATTAATTAGTAGTTTTTTTCTTTTACTTATCTATCTTTATTCTATTTCACCATCTTCTGTATAGAGCTGCAGTAATGTGCAAATTTCCCCACTGTACGATCAATAAAGTTTTTATCTTAATGAACTGTGGTTGCATGAAAAAAAGAGATGAATACGAGAGTGATCCTTGTTTTGACATGAAGATGAAGTGAACCACTTTCAACAACGGTTTAGGAAGTATTGACAGGAAGTCACCTCAGTCCAAATAAGCATTCATAACTGGAAATTTACTAGAGATTGTTGGCCTTAGATTATTTGGTGTATACTTTAAAGTTGTATAGTTAACCAAAGGTTTACTGTAGTTGTTTAACTGGCATCTGCCTAATCTAAGGATGCAATTGGTTATTATGTCTGTCACACTTGGTCGTAGGTTAGGTAGAAGATGGGACAATCGTCATTTTTACGAGGTTTCACACCAAAGCATTGCAGTTCCGCTTTTAGACCCTTAACTAAATGATATAAATGTGAAAAATAAGAACTTTAAACGTATGTCTAAAGATCTTGTGTGGACGTGAACTTTTTATTTTTTTATTTAATTTATTTAGCCTTTATTTTAACAGGCAAAACGTTAAGAATAACTTCTTATTTACAATGTCAGCTTGGGGACAACCTTGGGTGTTTTTAACTACTTTTGTCGTTTTAGTAAGGCACATTTACCTGAGCACAGTCTTCCTCATTTCACAGTTGAGCAACTTTTGTTTATTCAGTTTGTCAAATGGTTGTCCCTTCTTTCACTTTATAAGAAGAACAAGATTTTCCATCAGGGGTAGTTGAAATTGGTTGACTTTGACAGGCTGCTTGAGCTTGTTGTGTCAAAGAGTCACTCAGATGGTATTATAGAGGTAAACAAAACAGGCCTGTAGGGATTATATAGACTGGTGTTTGTCTGGAACATCATTAGAACTGCTGTCTGCAGCAGGGTGGCCTGAAGTGACTGGCTGAAACTTTTTGTTTGTAGGCTCACCCAGAATCCTATGAGGGGGCGAAATGACTGGCAAGCAAAACTATGCATACCACCGCCCACCCCCCGCAAAAAAAAAAAAAAATCTTGTTTCTGGATATAAATTTGTAGCATCATATCCATTTGCTCTTGTGAAACAGAAACAAGACAGGTAAGAGATTATCTTGAATGCATCCTCCACTGTTTTGATGAAGGCAGCCACTCCCTGGATGAGTTTTACTTTGTTACAGTAAGAATGCAGTCAATACAAATGTAATCAGCCTAGTTCCTCTTGTGCTTCAGCAGGTTGATTCTGTCATTTTGTTTCGTACTCAGAAGTTGTTTCCAGTTGGTAGAAGATGTGCTATTTATGGAAGTGTAAATCATTTCTGATGTCAACTTGATCATGATTCACCTCATAACAATTCATACGCACAATGGGCCTCATGCAAGAACATGTTTGTATTCTTATCCTAAATTTCTCTTACTTT